TTGGTTTTTAGAGAGACTTTAGAGAGAGAATATAATTGCGTAGGAAATATCTATATTATCCTTTATCTTGTGAGTTTATTGCGAACGAGCTGTGGTTCAAATCCGCATTCGCGATATAGTGGCACCTCCGAACGAAATATAGTAATAAAAGAATCTCAAACGAACGATGGAAGAGAAAATAAAGGAAAAATACAACTACTAAGTCTTACAATAAACAAAACAAATGGCGTTCTCGACAAGGGTATTCCTGAGAAAATCGAAAGGCATAAAGATGCTTTAATTAAGCAAGGTCATAGCGTCGATCGAAGAGTCAAAACGAGAGGTCGAGCAGAGCAAACTCGAGAAAGGCGAATTACTTAAAGACGTAGAAGCTTGGGGCCGTAAAATTGAAGAAAAAATCGATGAAGGCGACACTGAAATAACACGCTTGCGAGAATATTTAGATGATGTGGCGTCAAAAGCAGAGCAATATAAATGGCGAAAACAAGAGGAATTCGCGGCTAGACAATACGAGGACCAACTGAGATATGACAAAGCGCTCTTTGAGCAGAAAATCGAACTTGAAAAAGCGATAAAACATACAACAACAACAACAACAACAACGAAAGCGGCGAAATCAGAGCGAGTAAGATTACCAAAACTTGAGATTACGAAATTTGACGGGGCACTTGAGAACTGGTTACCGTTCTGGAATAAATTCGAAGCGGAAATTGACTCCTCGGACACGGTAGCTGTGACAAAGTTCGCGTATTTAAAGGAACTCTTGGAACCCAATGTTCGTCAAGGTATCGACGGTTTACAATTTACCACCGAAGGCTACGAAAAAGCCAAGAACATCTTGAAGACAGAGTACGGGAAGGTTAGTGAAATCGTAAATACATATATCGAAAATATTATGGCTCTACCAGTCGTTGTGGGTTCTCAGCCTTTAAAGGTGCATGAATTTTATCACAAACTAGCATATAACGTACAGTCTTTGGAAAGTTTGGGGAAATTAAGCGAGTGTTGGGGACTGGTGCGGAGCGTCTTAAACAAGTTGAAAGGAATCAAGGCTGACCTAGTTAGAGGGCAAACAGAATGGCAAACGTGGGGGTTCCCGGAGTTAGTTAAAGCTTTACAAATCTGGAAAGATATCCACCCTATCCCATTGAATGAATCCCCGCCTCCCACTAAGTCCCCAGGATTGCGCAAGAGTTTCCATGTACAACAAAGTGCGACACATCAAAGAGGCTGTGTGTATTGTGATGATAATTCTCATAAGTCATCCGAGTGTAAGGAATGTGTGTCGATCGAAGACCGGAAACGGAAGTTAAGAGATAAAGGTCTGTGTTTTAACTGCACTGGGAACAATCATCGCGCAGCCCAGTGCCGAAGTCGAACGAACTGTCTTAACTGTAAACAGAAACATCACACCTCGATATGTGATAAAGTTGTCGGTGAACAGAAAGCAATGACAGCATCAACCGAAGGCGAGAAAGTATGTCATCCAGTCGTAGTGGTAAATGCAAATGGACTAAATGTCGAGCACTATTGGATACCGGTGCAACGGGCTCATACGCATCGGCATATTTGTTAGAGCTACTGAAGATTAAGCCCAAAACCACACTGAACCGACGTGTTCAAACCATCATGGGAATCGAGACAAAGAATATCCATGTCTATGACATCAGAGTGAGCAACCTCAAGGGCGATTGCGAAATTTTGGTATGCGTGACGAGAATTGAAAGGTCCGAACTGCTGTCGCTAGATAACCCTGATTATCCAGAAATGATTAAGAAGTATAACCATATATCTACGTGGAGTTCGTATGGATGATGCAGGGCTGCAAATTACTGTCGGACATCGGACAATGTCCGACTAAATTTGGCAAATGTCCGAGCAAAAGTAATTTTGATCGGACATTGGTCTGATCACAAAAAAAATTGTCACATTATACATTTTTTCGCTGTCACAAAATCCGATTGCAAATTCACTCAATTTGCATTTTGCAATAATATTTATGAGGCATTCTAGCATTTAACTTAACATTGCATCCGTAATGGCTATACATACTTTTCTCGTGACTTATATATATCTTGTGACGTATACTGTATATGTCTGACCAAATTTAGTGGTGTTGGTTTTTGTCCGACCAAATTCAAGTTATGTCCGACCAAAATTAAAAGTGATCGGACAAATGTCCTGTCAAGTCAAATATTTATTTGCAGCCCTGATGATGTTGATAAGAAGAGCAAACTTCCGGTTCATCTTATACTGGGAACGAATGAATACACGAAGATCAAGACGTCTGAAGCTCAACGAGCAGGGGCTATGGGGGAGCCGGTAGCCGAACATACCAAATTTGGATGGACAATAATGTCGACAGGAAAAGAAGTAAACATGGAAAGTATGTTCTTGACTCAGACCACCACCAGCGATTACAAAAACCTTTGCAGAATGGATGTTCTCGGGTTGGAAGAGTGGAAGACAGTCCTTGTGGTGACCAAAGTACGTACATTACGAGTTCCTTGAACAACTAGAGCGCAGCGCGGAAGGTTGGTACCAAACTCACCTTCCATGGAAGGGAAACCACCCTCCGCTTCCATCGAATGAACAAGGAAGTCTGAGACGACTGAAAACGCTTACACAACGCCTTAAGAAGAACGAAATGCTGGATGAATACGACGCTATCATTCAAGATCAGCTCAGAGATGGAATTGTAGAGAAAGCGGACATGGCTCCCATCGGAAGAGAGTTTTATATTCCCCACAAGGCGGTAGTCAGAGAGAACGCTGCTTCCACCAAAACACGCATTGTCTACGACGCCTCGGCTAGAGCTAATGAATCATCACCATCCCTAAATGACTGCCTGGAAGTGGGTCCTCCGCTACAGAACCAACTGTGGAGCGTTTTGGTGCGAGGAAGATTTCATACCATCGCACTCACAGCAGATATGCAAAAGCCTTTCCTCCAGGTGAGAATCCATCCTGACGACCGAGACGCGTTGCGTTTCCACTGGCTAGAGAACAAAGATACACTGCGAGTCTGCACGTTACGTTTCACCAGAGCACTGTTTGGTCTTGGACCTTCGCCGCTCCTCCTTGGGGGAGTAATACAGCACAATTTGAACTTAGTACGAACTGAGCAACTAAAACAAGTTGAAGAGATCGAGCGCAGTCTTTACGTGGATGATATCCTGTCCGGCGGACAAACGGTCGAAGAAGTGAAAGAGCTAAAGTGTGCTACAACCGAAATTTTCGAAGCCGCGTCACTAAAGCTACACAAGTGGAATTCTAACGTTAAATTCTTAGAGGAAGAGATTCCAGATCAAGAAGCAAGCCTTAGTCACGCTAAAGAACAACTCGGTGTAAAAAGCGGTGAAACAACTTTACTTGGACTGAAATGGAACAAAGAGAAAGACACAATCGGAGTTACGTTTCCAGACAACGAGAGCACACCAACGAAACGAGGAATTCTAAGTAAAGTAGCTAAGATATATGACCCCCTCGGACTTGTCTCGCCAATTATCCTTGGAGGAAAACTTCTTTATCGTGAGGCATGTAACGAAAAATGTCCGTGGGATGCTACCTTGCCTAAACATCTGGTTAAGAAATGGCTGAAATGGGAAAGCCAACTTCCGTGTCTTGTAGAAATACCGAGAGCGCTACCTCAAAGTCAAGAGCCCATAAACGAAGTCTCACTACACAGCTTTGGAGACGCCAGTGGTAAAGGAGTAGCAGCTGTTGTCTATGCCGTTGTTGCTCAACCAACGAAGACGTATCAAGGATTAGTGGCCTCCAAAGCGCGGTTGGCTAAAGCAGGACTAACTATTCCAAGACTAGAGTTGGTAGCGGGCCACATGGCCGTTAACTTGGCTATCAACGTTGAAACAGCATTGCAAGGGTTTCCCATCACCAATGTCGTGTGCTGGCTCGACAGTAGCGTGGCACTGTACTGGATTCTCGGCGGCGGAGAATTAAAGCAGTTTGTCGGCAATCGCGAAAGGAAGATCTGCGAGCATCAGCATGTAAAGTGGCGACACGTCCCGACCGATCAGAATCCAGCGGACGTTGCCAGCAGAAGCGGGATCGTCGACGAAGAACACCGTCTTTGGTGGCATGGCCCGGATTGGTTGTCAGATCCTGGAAAGTGGCCCAAAGACATCGTTACTGCGCCGAGTGTTGAGTCGGAGAAGGAATCGAAGGTGATAAAACAGATCGTGAACTTGGCAGTCGAACACCAAACAGACGACCTTGATGACCTTCTTACGAAAACCACCTTGTGGAGAACCCTGAAAGTGTGCGCATGGCTGATGAGATTCGTTCGAAATGCAAGAAATCCCAAAACGAGCAGAACAGCGGGACCAATCACAGCGCGGGAGATTGCAGAGCAGAGACAATTCTGGATACGGAGAGTCCAGAACAACTATCCGGAACGAGTGGAAGAAGATCGTTTGAAGCTGAACTTACAAACAAATAAAGACGGAGTACTAGAGTGTAGAGGTCGATTGCAAGTCCATTATCCAGTGTATATCCCGGACACATCGATTTACGCTGAGAAACTTGTCGAACATGCCCACAAGAACACTCTACACGGGGGAGTGGGTCTTACAATGACAAAGATACGAGAACAGCATTGGATCCCTCGTCTAAGACGACTCGTGAAGCGTCTTATCAACCGTTGTGCAGGATGCAAACGCTTCCAAGCAGTGGCCATGGCAAGTCCTCCGCCAGGACTGTTGCCAAGAAGTCGAACAGAAGGGATAACACCCTTTGAGGTAATTGGCGTCGATTACGCTGGCCCGCTGATGTACAGAGCAAAGAACAAGAAGGAACGAAAAGCATATATACTGCTCTACACATGCAGTCTCACTAGAGCGGTCTACTTAGAGCTGTTGCCAACTTTGTAGATGGATGTTTTTATAAGGAGCTTCAAGAAATTCGTCGCGAGAAGGGGCAGACCTACGAATGTATA